CCTGCCACTCTTACCCTGTCATACTAGGTCCTAGTTACTCATTGTCACCTGCTGGGAACACTGCATTTGCACTTTTAGCCCAGTGGATCATGATCCTGAGAGTCCTGAGTTGGAAACTCAATTGGTCTGAGGGAGAAACAATGGTATGGGTTCAAACCTCACCCGAGCGATTCTAATTTGCAGTCTCTTGAAAACTACAAGTCCAGCCCCACTCCCACTGCTCTGGCTACACATCTTGGCCCCATGAGTTAGAAGCACTGCAGACCAGGGAGCAGGCTCCACAACTCCTGACGGGTTCAGAGGGCAGGCTTGGAGGGGGAGGCCCTCTTCTGTCCAGGTCACTGAGGCAAGTGTTGAATGCAGCTTTTCTGCTGACAGTGTTCCTTCTCCATCCCCATCCTCTGTACACTTAGCTCAGCCTAGGGGCTTGGGCTTTTTAAGGCTTCTTTGAAATCCTCCCCTGGCTGGGCCTTTGGGGTCAAGACCAGGATTTTGACAAAGCTAGAAGTGCGACAGGAGTAAGGGGCTGGTTGGGGAAGGCTGGGCCCCTGGAGCTGCACAATAATTCCTTTGGAAGGAGAGGAGAGCCTGAGTGGAGAGGCTTTTGTATTTTGTGGCCTGTGTGTGCCCAGTTTCCAGGGCAACCATGGGCATCTCGGTTCCATTAGAGGTGGGAGCCAGACCAGAGGACAGCCAATTGGCATTCAGAGCCCAGTTACCTAGGCCAATGGGAAGTGGAGAGGGGCAGAGTCTGGCTGTAAGTAGAGAAGTACAGAGATCTGGGAGAGTTGGAGCTCCCCTGGCTGGCTGTCGGGTTTAGCAGAAGCCAAGCCTGTTCTCACCAAACCCTTCTCCTGAAGGTTCAGGAGGGAACCTCGTGGCTGCCAGGCCTGCAGAGGGGAGTACCGTCTATGGGACACACTAGGTCATGGCGTTCTATTGACCAGGACAAGCAGGGGCAGAAGCTGAGAAGCTGGAATGCTGCTCACAGATATTCAGACTCTGAATGAAGTTGCTCCTTTGGGCCAGGGTTCCTGGGTTGGGAGGTGTGGGGAAGAGAGCCAGTCCTGTGGCCCTGGCTGTCTCCAAGGTTGCTCAGTGCTGATGTCCTTTCTTGGCACTCCTCTGCCACTACTGCTCCACATACAGAGACCACCATGGACAACAAACAGCCTCATAGCCTTAGGTGTGGCTACTGCTGAGTACCTACTGCCATCCCAAGTCCCACTGTTGGGGCAGATGCCCCTTGGCCCCTCACCATAGACCAGAAGCCCAGCTTCTTTATCTATAAGAGCCAGCCACTTGAGAAGAATGCTGTATATGGTTGGTTTGTGATCACTGAGGTCCCTGCCCTGTTGGCACAGAGTTCTGTGATGCTAGTCTGTGAGAATGGAAGAGGGGCTGGCACAGGAGTCTGAGTTCAGATTCTTGAGTCCTCCCTGCCTCCTCAGATCCACTGTTTCTAAGGGTGTCTGCCGCTGCCACAAGGTCCTTCCCCTCCCTAAGTCTGTCTCTCTGTAAACTCCCTCGCATACATCACTCCTTCCCTGGGCTGAAAGAAGAGATGGGGTAAAGCTACTCTGCTTTCCCTCACAAATCTCTGCCACCATTTATACAGCAGCAAAGAGGAATCTTTCTGCACTTCAGTTTCCCCTGCATGTCAAGCTGATACTAGACCCAGCCAGGTCATTCCTACCCAACTTCTGGAGTGGAATTCCAACCTGGGGAGGTGAGATGGGCCCAAACAGGCCAGATACAGGCTGAAGCCCTGCCTCTGCCTCTGCGGGTGATGGTAGTTTCCTCCCTGGTGTTCATCCTAGCTATCCTGCTGCTGCTGCTGCTGCTGCTGCTGCTGCTGCTGCTGCTGCTGCTGCTATACCTGCTCCAATAGACCAAAGGCTACTGAGAACTTTCTAGATCTGAGGGAGGTTCTAGACCCTGTGTCTAGGATGGCTGGGAGGTTGAAGCCTCTTGAGAAGTCC